GATGACCTTGGCACATGATACTTCTGTATCAGGAGGGTTGAGGGTCTCCTTAGGGCGGTCAACAAGTCCTTCCACCAGAAAGCATCGTCCATTCTATTTGCCCCACCATGGTGTCCTGCGACCTGACAGCGAGATCACGAAGCTCAGAGTCGTGTTCAACGGGTCCAGTCCAAGTTCTTCAGGGGTGTCTCTGAATGATTTGATGCACACTGGACCGAATCTGACACTCAACATATTTGATCTTCTCCTTTGGATTCGACGACGCAAGCACTTGTTTGCAGCAGACATTACTAAGATGTACCGTCAAATCAAGGTATATCCAGACGACTGGGATCTACAACGGATCCTGTGGATAGACCAACACCATGCAGAGAGACCGTACCAATTGACCACGGTGACATACGGAACGAAGGCCGCTCCATTCCTTGCCGTCAGAACTTTACTGCAACTTGCAGAAGATGAGGGAGAAGCAAAGCTCGTCAACCATGTTCATGCTACCTTGGACATGGATATAGCAGAAACATACTTGTGGACAGACTCGAAGGTCACGTTATCATGGATCAAAACACATCCGTCACGCTGGAAGGATTACGTTCGGAACCGCGTAATTCAGATCCAGGAATTGACGGAGCCCACGCTTTGGAGGCATGTACCAGGAACGTCAAATCCGGCTGACTGTGCATCACGAGGTATCAGCACAGATCAGTTGGAAAGTCATACTCTTTGGTGGACGGGACCACCATGGCTCACGCAATCTCGAGAGAATTGGCCCACGCAGACCAGCAGTGAGGAGGACGACCTCTGTGCACAAGAGGCACGCTCAAAAACAACACTGCACACAGTACACTCAATGAGAGAGTACACCTGGGACGTCATTCACCAGTGTGGAACTCTAACGAAACTGCTAAGAGTTACCGCTCTTTGCATGAGATACCTCAAGAAACTGTCGAAGAAGTTTGGTCCATTACGACCAGCATCAGTCAACGCTGCAGACATGGAGACTGCTCGCCGTTTCTGGATAAAGGAAACACAAGGCACTTTCTTTGACGACGAAATCAGATCACTGACCACGGGTTCCCAACTTCCAAGAACACATCCATTCACTCGACTTACTGCATTTCTTGATCACGAAGGCATATTGCGAGTGGATGGACGGCTTGACCACGCTACACTGGCATATGAGAACAAACATCCAGCGATATTGCCTCGACAATCACGGTTTACAGAACTTGTCATTGCCCATGCACATGAGGTCACCATGCATGGAGGCACACAGTCCACTCTGGCTTACGTTCGTCAACGCTATTGGATTGTCGGAGGCAGAGCGCCAGTGAAATCGCATATTCTGCGCTGCGTAAAGTGCGCTAGGCAAAGAGGAGTCCGTGCTCAGCAACTGATGGGACAATTGCCTAGTGCTCGTGTTACACCTTCACGAGCCTTTACGCACACAGGCATTGACTATGCAGGACCGCTCACCTTAAAGACTTGGAAGGGCAGAGGAGCCAAGACGTATAAGGGATGGATTTGCGTCTTCGTCTGTCTGTCCACGTCTGCTGTACATTTGGAAGTTGTTTCAGATTACTCAACTGTAGGGTTTGTGGCTACCTACAGGAGGTTCACGGCTAGACGAGGGATTCCATCCAATCTTTATTCCGATTGTGGAACCAATTTCGTAGGAGCTGATGCGGAATTACGAAGGTGCTTCAGGGAAGGCACTAGGGAATCCGAGCAGTTCACGTCACTGTGTGCCAAGGAGAACACGCACTGGCATTTCAACCCCCCAGCTGCTCCGCACATGGGCGGGAAATGGGAGGCCGCAGTGAAGTCAATGAAGCATCACCTGCGAAGAACAGTTGGCGACACAATGCTCACGTTTGAGGAAGCGACCACTCTGATCGCTCAAGTCGAAGCAGTCCTCAATTCTCGACCACTCGGAGCGTTGACCGACGAATTAGAAGATGTGCTGACACCAGGACACTTTCTAATCGGGTCTGCGCTGAACGCAGCACCTGAGGCTACGCTGCTAGACGTCTCGACGTCAAGGCTCACTCGATGGCAGTTCATCCAGCAGCGATTGCAGCAGTTCTGGAAACTCTGGTCCACGCAGTACTTACAGCGGCTTCAAGCCGTGTCAAAGTGGCATCACCCAGCCAACGACATCAAGGTAAACTCAAGAGTCTTGATTACAGATGAGAGACTGCCTCCTCGGAAATGGCCATTAGCCCGCGTCTTGGAATTATACCCAGGGAAGGACGGCAGAACGAGGGTGGTAACTTTGAGAACGGCAACCACGACTTTGACACGCCCGATTGTTAAGCTCGCGCTGCTACCTGTCATGACAGACGACGCAGCCCACGATACATAATCAGCAATGGAGTTGCTGATTGCGGCGGAGAATGTTCGAGAATAATCTCGAAGGTGCGCGAAGTCGATGCCTTTCCGATCGCGCATCGACAGCGCCGCCAGTATGAAGAACGAAGAAACTGCCGGTTGGCGACAGACCGGCATGAGTCCGTTACGAATCGTCGCGTATTATAGACGTGTCG